TTAACCTTATAAACAGGGGCGTCTTTAAGGTTCAAACTATAACATACAACTACAAATATCTTTCAACCACTTTTACCGTTCAAGTAGCGAGGGTGGCGGAGGAGAATCGTCACTCTCCGTCATTATGACGATCAACTTTGACCGGACATGGATAGGTAACAGGTTCAATGTCTGAAACAGTTCAATGAATAAGCTTTTCTGTGAAAAGCTGAAACTTTGCTGAGTTGGTCTTGCTCTTGAGAGCTTAATCGAACGATGGATGAAAGAACGACGGCTATTACATCTATTCTCATGGTATTATTGTCTTTCAACCATGCATCTATTGAGTTAACATCCTTCTGCTCACTGAAGATGACACTCTTTACAAGGTTTCAAGCCTCACGGCAATAACCTGGTAAAATCCACACAAGGAGTATCTATGAGAACTGGCCGAAACCTCATACGAGTGTTATTGAAAATATAAGTCGAGATAGGCTTTTGAGGTGTGAATTCATTGAATTGCTTAAGATAGAGATAGAGAGATGATCATCCAGATTGTTCTTCATATATCCCAAACCTCATTAGCTATGTGATACCGGTCTAGGCTATTGACTGATGCCCCATAGAAATAACTGCAGAAAAAATCGATTAAATAAGCCTTTCCTGCTGTTTTCGGGCCTATGAGTATCATAACTCGATGAGTCCGTTTAAGTTCATCTGAAAAGCAAACAATTTGTTTTTGAACAATCTATTCCATGAAGTAAAGAAGATGTTACCATCAGCACCCCCAGCATAGATAGATCGTACATTCGGTTTCTCAATACCTTCACCCACAAACTTATTAATCTTCGGAAGCTGTGAGTCGTTTGGAATAGAGGACATTGTCCTAAAAAGGCAATAATGAAGCTAATAACAGTAAATTGAGAAAGGTTGTATAACATGTTATCTTTGAAAGGACTTGAAAACTTTTGAAAAAAGAAAGATAAAAAAGAAATGGTAATGAATGAGTAAATGTTAAGTAAACTGTGGTAAATTGAAAAAGATATTTGGAAGCAAAGGAGAGAGGTTAGAGGGTGTGAAGAGGTGTGAGCAGAGGGGATAACTACAACACATAACAGACATCAAGTCTTTTCCTTATCAACCTTCATCACACATGTTTGAATGAGCAGAAGAAGAAGATGCAAAAGAAGAAGGAATAGAAGATGTAGAAGCTTATATTATATTTTTAATTTTCAAAATGAATTCATTCAAATGCATCATTGACGATGATGTTATGCTATTCATCATTAGAAGAACAGAACAAATCGATTAGTTATATGAAAACGTGTGTCTGACCAAAAAATGGTCAAGTATATATATATATTGAACTATGAATTATAGACTTAAATGTTTGTTGAGAAACGAGTCGTAGTAAAGCAATTTTGAGATTAGCATAAGGTGGGTATATGATGTTTCACGTGAATCACGTCAAACATTTTTCATTTTCTATTGTGAAGATTGACAAGGAACGGTTGTATACACAAGAATATAGAGTAAAGGAGTATTAGTTAAATATAAATCACATAATTAGTATAATTATATATGTAAAGGTTATAAAGTTAATTGAAATAGGCTATAAGAGGGTTCAGCATTATCAAACATATCAATAATATAACAAATAAACTCCTTACAACTAATCACTTGTTTATAACATTGAAGAGAAGTATAAGAGGTAGATGGTTGTATAGAGAGAGAGAGAGGGAGAGAGAGAGAGAGGGATAGGAGGTTATAAAAGAAGAAAAAGAGGTTTTCTACTGTTTTTTCTATAGATGCCATGAATGGTAAGCAAGCATGATATGAAGAGAGACAGGCAGAGAGAAGAAGAAGAAGAAGAAGACAGAAGAGTACACATCAGTGTACTCATCTATCTTATGAAACAATCAGTTGTGATAAGTACTTGAATTAAACTGATAAAACAGTATAAGAATAGTCTGAGAATGTTCAAATCATTTCAATATATGGTCAAATAGTGTAAATGATAGAAGCGGAATGATTGACTATTAGTTGTGTGTGTTCCCTTAGGCTTCACCATGCTATGTATCTCAATGTTATTTGTATGTTTTCTATAATTCTCAATCATTTCTTTGATCTTTCATATTGACTCTCTGTGCTTAAGAATTCTCTCTTTATTAACCTTCCCTTCTTCAAATCTTTACTTCTTTACAGAATTGATAAGAATGAGCCTAAGACAGATATGATTCATACAAAAATCGATAAGCACACATACAGTTATGAATATGAACATTCATCATCCTGTGCTTGAGCACACCTACAAGGTTTTCTTCTCTCTTTCTCTCTATATCATTCTTCTTTCGCACTATCTCTCTCTCTATCACCATTACTGTTACATTTGCTTTTTTTCTCTATTTCTCTTCTTCTCCGAATGTCACTCTATACTTTTCCTTTCCATTTGTTGATTCAAGTTAGAAAGACAACTATGGAGGTGATAATCTTACTTTCAAGATTTCCAGAATACGAAAGCAAAATAAACACAAAGTATTTCTTCTAAACAGTCCATCCATATAACCTTATTCCACACACAATCATATGGAATATGAAGTAGGCCATGAGATTAGTAGAGATATCAGGATTTCAGGAACAAGTCGATAGGTTAGTAAGTGAGACTTATGAAGATGCTGAAATAAGACTGACCGTAACACCATCTTTCTCTTTGTATTCTTCTAATTGACAAAGCCAATCTCACAAGTTAGAATGACATCTGTAAATACAAAAAAGGAAAGAAGCTCAAACACTTATCATGAACAGAAACATTATACAACAACACTCATAAATAAGAAAAAAAAAGATAAATTGATAGTTAGATGAGAGAAGGTTTGAAGATCGTAAATCATGGAAACTATACAGGAGAGAAGGAAAGTTTCAGAAGCTATTGTTGACGTGCAATGTTTCTGTGATTAAATGAAGAAATGAGATAGAAATTGGAAGAAGTCGGAAATGCGTCGGCAACTTGAAGAAGCTGTGAAAGGTGTTGCCGATAGGGAAGAAGTTTGGCAGAACAAAATACATTGAATGAAAAAAAAAGATGATTGAATGAAGAATAAGATGAACGAAAAAAAGAAGAAGAAGAAGAAGAAGTGATATTGATAGTCGTGCTTCTCCTTTCCTATTCTCTTCCACATTCTTTCTTTTCATCAGTTTTCGTCTATCAAACAACTTTTCTAAACTTTGCATCTCTCCAATCTTCACATTATCTCTTATTCTCTCTCTTTCTCCTAAAGGAGTTGATTTCTATCATCATTCAGCTTCAAAACATAGCTAGCTTTAGCTCAAATCATGTCCATTTCTTTCCATCATATGTTGACTGAAGGATGCGACAGCACATCACTTAAGTGGAACGTACGTTCCAAATTCTGAACATAAAAATCATTTTTATGCTTTCAAGACGCAAAAAGCGATATCAAAACGAAAAACGAATAAAATGATTTTCATTTTTTTTCTCGTTGATTCGGTAAACCTTTGATGGAAAAATCTTTCGACAGAGACGTCTCTATCCCCCCCCCCTCTCTAACCACTTCCATATTGGGATCGAACATTGCCTGCACTCACTCAATACAATAGTTCCAATTTCTAGTAGTTCTTTAATACTTTTACAACAAAACATTTCCATTCAAAGTATTTTTTGTGTGTCAAAAATCCTTAACGCATACTCTGTTCATATGAAGACGTCATTCATAATTAGCATACGTGACACGTAAGCGATGCTAAGGGAAGTTCATTCGATGTGACACATTATGTTGTAAACGGTTGCATTCACATGTGTGTGGGGTACCTGTGTGTGAAGTGTGAGGGGATGAGGATATCATTTGAGAAACATATTCTACTGAGTAACGTTGTCAATAATGTAAAACAGTAAGAAGGAAGAAGGAAGAAGAAGGAAGGATCTCTATTAACACAACATTTGCATATATCCATGGGTAATCGACGGAAATGTTTGTTAAGAAGAGGATAGCTAACAACAACAAGCACGTTGTTTTCAGAATTTATCTCATGGTCGTCGTCGTTGTCTCATCGATATCATGTGAATCCATATGGAAGAAGAAGAAGAAGCTTCTTACCTCAGATGAGATGAAGCAGTCGTTTTTTGCTCTTAACCCTCACAATTAGACTTTAATTTGCAGAGAGGAAGAGAAGAGAAATGTTCTTTTTTTTTCCTTTATTTTACACTCAAAACTAACGGCTGTTAATATGATTGTTGCAGGGGGGATTAGATGAAGAATATGTCATATGATTATTAAACATTATAAGTCCTTTTTCATGAATGTATATTATTCTTCGAAGCTATTAACTATATGTATGAACAGTGAGCTATGAACGCAAAGCCTCTTGACTCAATCAAACATGTGCCAAAAACATTAATCATGTTCTCTTTAACAAAAAATTCTTTCAAACAATCATTACGTCATATTAACATGTTGAAGAAGTGAAAGAGAAAAATCTTGCAATTATTGACTAACAACTGTTTTTGGCTTAAGAAATTGTTTCATTCAGAACTACCTCCTATTGTATCTATCCCCATGAGTTCCTTCCATTTCCTTCATTTCACAACTTTCATTCCATTTCATATGTTCGCTTCCAGATGAACTTTCACGTTTGCTTCATTTTCATCCTTTTGATTGCGCTATCACATCTCACAGAAGCTTACTTTCCTGTCTATGGATCACCAAGTAACGATCGTCGATATGCTATTGTAATCTACCTTATATCTTTACATACTTGCTCTAGATCAACAAATTTCAGTTCCGCGACTTGGCCAGAGTCAGAGCTGAGGCCCAGAAGAAAGGTCAATTCTACTTCGAAGGAGCTCCTACGTATTGAACGTTGATTCATTTTCCAAATAAACCTTTGAATACTTCCGTCTTAAGATAATCTTTATCTACTTTCCATGATTTATTATTAAATTCGATAAAAAAACGTTTTTTCCAAGCACTGATTACTTCTAAGTGAAGATAACAATGACTATGAGAGTCTATTACAACGTGTCATTTCAAATGAACGTTTTGCTTCCTTCTCAGCTTCACTTACGTCAAGCTTGAGATGATTTTGAGAAATGAAAACCTATATGAGTTGATGAGCTATATAGTTGTGAAAGAACATTCTTGTGTTCTGGGCTCATTCCCCTCGCTTTTTCATTGTTAAGAAGAGATGTTAATATGAAATATAGAAGCTTATCAAATACTTTCTGACTATTCGACCTGGTTGATAAGAACTTGTATATATGTACATTGAGCTTACGGTAGTTATCGATTTCCTTTTTAGGAGTGGTAAGCATCTAATTGAGGGCGAATGAATGTGAAACAAAAAAAAGAGAAAAAAGAAAAAAAAAAGTTTTTATTCCTTTCACATAGAAGTTCAGATGATTGTTTGAAACAATGGAAGACAGAGCTTTGTGCAGCTCATAAAGGAACAAGGAAGAACAAGATTCAACCGGTCTATGTGTCTGATGAACTCAAAATGAGATCAAACATGTTCACGTATTTCACGTCTAATTAGAATATATCGTTGACTCATTATGAAACACATTTGAAAACAGGAAGGATGAGAAGAAGTAAAATACTGACAACAATAATTAGCCACGCTATTTATACCTATATTGATTAGATAAAATATTTTATACTACTAGTGATAATAGGTTATCAGTAGTAGCTTTCTCAATTACCTGATTATAGCCTTTTTTTAAGCGTTTTTCCAGCATCATATCTAAAGCTTTATCGATAAAAAAAACAAAAAGAACTGTTTCTCCTTTCTAATCGGTACGCTCGCATGCGACAGTTCCTCTTCTGACATGCATGAGAGCTTCATCATATTCCATCATTCTGACTCAATGAGATACAGATCCTTACATATCCTCATGTTCTTTCCCTCATTTACCTCTTATGGTAAGGATATGTTAACATCCAAAAAAGGGTTAACTACCATTGGATTAACTATGTATGTGACCTACTGTTGCTCAAATTGTATAAAAGAAGGTACAAGGAAAATGATAAGATAAAGAGAGACAACATTTGAACGTCCCTCGAATGATATTGACGATTGCTATAATAATTTCTTTTTTTTTTCTTCCATTTATACTGATTGTTCCACAACTTCGCATAGATATCGTGATTCTTCAACTGATCAGATATACAGTAATTGATTTTCATGATAGTGTTATGATTAGATGTTCATTACCCTTTCCTCTCATATCAGTAAATATGACAAATTTCAAAAATCTTTCTTTTGCTGGTCAGACACGATTGATATATGGAGATGATATCATTTTATCACATTTGCATTTTTTTTTCTTTTAAATTTATACGAGTGGAAGGCAATCATGAGAATGTAAGGAGATGCTTCACTGAGCAAACAGTTCATTACGTGGACTGCGAGTAGTACGGTAATTCACTCATAAGAATTTTTGATTTTTGAAACTAAGATGGTATGGCTAATGAAAGAATAAGATATACATCTTCCTTAACTTCTAGTAAATGATACAAAAAGGTTTTAATAGTAAACTGATAGTATTATCAACCTATCAGCTCTTACTTTTACTTTTAATTTGAAATCTCCACTCATTATCTCCAATCTGAGTCAGTTTCAGTCTTAGTTGAAAAAACATAGATTAGATATGTAAATCTAACATCTTTATCTTTTTTTTCATTTTTTATTATTATTAAATGTCTTTTATAATCAATATAATATCTTTTTTCCATAATTTTGATCAATTGGAAGAGAGTGAGAGGTGGGAGTGCTGGCTACAAGCGGCCTAAGCATTTTGCCACGTTAGCAAACGTCATGCTCCTGTAAACGTCTCAATACAACTCACAGTTGATCAACCACTTCTGATCATTCAATTAGATATTACTGATTGAATTAAAAAACTCTTCTATTTCATAATCTCATCTCAACAACTCTTTTTTTCTTTTTTTATCATATCACTATGATGTGAGGCTCACTCGTCCGTTCTTTTCTATGAATCGGGTAACCGACTTATAGACAACATCTCAGTGCTCTGTTGATCACTTCTCAACTAAGTGGTTTCCTAGAGATGAAATAATTATCTTTGTTTTGATAGTAGTATCTTGCTTTTCCGGCGATATAGTTTTCTAGAGTTGAAGATAGTATGACCCAACAATGCTATCTGTCACCTCACGCTGATAAATTATCTCTTTGAGAACAATACAAGATAAGTGTTATCTCCTCCTCAGTAAGCTCATGTCTATCCACGAATATCCTTTATCCATCATAACACTCATTTTTTGAAAATTAATTCAGTTTGAGTAACAAAAAGCTTACTGTAACTGCTAGATGTCTACTGGCGCGCTCCGCCCCATTTTGATACGAACTGTAAGCTGTTACTCCGCCTCTCCATAGACTGCAGTCTCCATTTCATTCTCAACAACGAACAACTTTTGATTATTGATTAAGTAAATTATTTCATGCTACCATAATCATTCAGCTAATACACAAAGTATCGCCTCTTTCACCTGTTCTCCGAGTTTTTTTGAGTTAATCACTGTTTTTAATGACTTCTCTTATTATTTATCATCAAGCTGCTCATGATGATAAAGAATTTTTTGAGAAAACATAGAAGTTGATACTTGTAGGGAAACAATGGACCACCATGATACCCAGGCAATTACGACAATGACTCCATTCTGGAATGAAAACACAGCTAGAGTGCCTGGAATCGCAATAAGCTCTCTGGCCGTTAACACACCCCCTCTTAACATAACCGTAACTTCGGATAAGGATAAGAAGTCTATAACAGGTTAGCAAATGATATTCAATTCAATTTATTGAATAACGATCACATCTAATCGGTTATCAAAGTAATAGTGAGTTAGAAGACTGTCAGTCAGAAAACTGCTGATTCAATTCTATTCTCCTGTCTGAGCCAAATATTGAATCAATAAGCATTTCATTAATCAATAAAATTGTCTGATAAGAGCAATTTCTTCGAATGGAGTGATAAACGAGCGAGCATAGCGATTATAACTACAGTTTTAAAGTAATTTTATAGATAAACTGCCGTTTCCACAAGCAAATGGATTTCAAGCTATACCACCAAGTAACTTATGAAATGAAATGAAAAATATATACAAAAATATATAATTATAGTCACACTTACTGATACATTACCTAACCGACAATCCGTCATTGAACAATCTGTTGGTGTGGAGATAAAAACTGAATTCTCACAATTACAATGTAAGAAGCTTAACATGGCATGCTCTTAATAACCATTTTACAGCTTTTCCAAGTAGTACTTTGGGCGAATACAATTACAACATGTATGCTTTTGATTATGGATTACCACAAACTATCCCTTCCTATCCACAGTATGCTATTACAGCCTCTTCATCATACATTGCTCCTTACAGCGTAACAGGCTGGAATGATCGACCAGTCAATAACTTCAGTTATCCCAACCCTGCTTATACCAATATCGACCCTGTAATCTACTACTTATTTGATATTTGAAGTTATCTCTCTCTGTTCAGCCCTATTACATCTCCCAGGAATGCTTAGTATGTGGCAAATCTCCAACTTCAGATGGAAGTATGTGTGCCGAATGCATTCAAAACCAGAACAACTCCAACCCTTATGGTAATACACCCAGCCATAACGGATTAGACATTACTAACGAAATTGCAGTAAGTTTCACAAAACATCATCGGAGTTAACTTCTTATTTTGAAGACATATCAACCTTCCTTAGACGCTACATTAACGTCAACTGTTGTAGTGGCAGATTCTAGCACTGCTCAACGGTCTATCCAAACCGGCAAAAGAATAGCGAACATGAAGAAAGCAACAGCGGTAAGTTAAACAAAATATAAAAAAATAAGGAGAGAGAGAGAGAGTGTGTAAAGAGCAACCGTTCGTAGGTATGGAACACATATGAAATGACGCATAGTAGCAATATAGCTTAAATCGCTAATTTGCATACCCGTGAAAACACGTGGCACATTATGCTAATGAGCTTATGAACTGATTACAGCCACCTGCTCAGCGTAGACAAGGATTGGTATGTTCAAACTGTCATGGAACAAATACCACATTATGGCGTCGGAATGGAGATGGAGATCCAGTGTGCAAGTATGTTTGAATAGACTATTACCAAAAACTCTAAGCCAGCTTATACACATCATAATACTTTAACAGGACCATTTCAGTGCATGCGGTCTCTATTTTAAGTTACATGGTGTTCAAAGGCCGATAACAATGAAGAAAGAAGGCCAATTACAAACAAGGTATTGATAAATATGTATTTTATTCTTAAGTTCTTATTTAGAAAGAGGAAACCAAAAAACAGTGAAACAGCTAAGAAACGGAATAGCAACTCGAATTCAGGAAATGAACGATTGACTCCCTATTCGAGTACGAATGAACGAAGTAAGCTTCTATCATTATATGATATATGTTAATCTTATATGTTATTCAGGTAGTTATAGTACAGAATATAGTATAACTCCCAGCACTTTGTATGGAAGTGACTCCAGTAGTTATTCAAGTGTTACCAGAGTGAATTCAAATGGCAATTGGGCCAATGGTATTCTCATGAGCAGTTCGTTACTCCCATCCCATTATGTTTTCTTAACCACAACCATTTCAGATCCAGGAACATCAGCGTTTTCAGCTCCTCAGTATTCGTATGTTAAGAAAGAAGTATGTTTGAAGATGTGAAGAATAGTTAGTAATGTGTGTTGTTTACAGCCTCAGATGGATGAGGATGAAACAAGAAATGCAGCATTGGGCTTAGAAGATACTTCACGCGATGATCAATCAGAAGCTTCATAAGCTCTGTATCAACAACAGTAATATATGTGTAATAATTTACCTCATAATTAGAATACGAAATAAGGAACAGAAACATTACGCAAGACCGTATGTTATCTCTCATTCAGCCATTCATAGTTCTATAATTAATATAAAACTGCCTCAGGGCATCAAAAATATGTGTATTTTTGCCGAATCATATCTCAGTCAAAAGCTCAACTTATCATTCTTATTTCTAATTTGGTCTATGAAACGATATATAAAATGTTTTAAATTATAACAAATAAATATATTCTTTGCATTGTTCCATCTGATGAGTAAACATCTCTCCCTCTCAATGTTCTTTTACTTCTTGAATACAAACTGTTTATCATTTCCATGAGTCATGCATTATCACGACCTGTCGTCAACGTTTATTCTGTCCTACGCAAAATTTCCTTTTATGTATAAATATGAGGTTAACTCCCTATGACTAGCTCATTCTTGCAAGACTGCTCCACACATCATCCATTTCACAATCCTTTACCATGTCTTCGCAACACCTTGCTATCAATATTGAAGATTCTAAAAATCCATCTGGGTATGATCCATTAGAATTTCCGCTAATTGGTCAACCAAACAAGGTCACATTCAATAAAGTTGCGACTGTTGTAGAGATAGGTTTGTTGTTCATACTCTTTCATCAGGATAGGTGTCCTTTGCAGATTCCAAGCCCAAGCTGGCAACTTCGCGTATCATTTGGCGAATCTTCAGCACCGTTTTCATATTCTTCTTCGCTGTCTTCGTTTTCATCCTTCTTCTGAACACCTTCGTCTTCTTCGCCAATTACCAACAAAGCTAGTTGCTTTGAAGAAGAACACTTCTACCTGCCATAGACCTTCATGCTGATCTCTAACTATGTGCCTATAACTATATGTTATAAATAGATATTTATTAAATTTCCTTCTGTGAAGTAGAAGTACCTTATCTATTCATTTTTAAATTCTATTCGACAAAACGTTTTTAAAGGTTAATGAAATGATTGACAGCTTTTCTATTTCTCTGAATTTCAAGAACTATCTGAATGTTCGTTTTTAGTCTTTCAGTCAATCCTCACTAAACAGGTTATCAATATGGCCACCAAGTTGATTAAACGGTTTTTCCCGCAAGTCTCGACATACAAAATGTATTCAAAGGATGTGTTCCTCTCTTTGATAGTGAGATGTTAGAAGAAACATCCATAAATGGCAAACATTCATTATATTAAGTGCGAGCAAAGCGAAACGTCTTTTAAAGATTTTTAAAAAACGAATTTTCCATTCATCTTTAGCAAACAGACTGTTTGACGTCAATAGAATAGTCTGCATTACAAATGTCTAGTCAGTATGCACTCGTTGTGACAACAACAAACCAAAAAAGGAACTTTTTGATTCTCAAAAGTTATGACTGAAGACTATTCTCTGCACAATCTGTCTCGCAGTCTCTTTGCAGAACGAGATCAACAAAAAAAGAAAAAGATATATACACGAGAATAATATGAGAAAAGACAGATTGATGAAGAGAAATGGTTATTTTCAAAAAGCACCGTCGTCCTTTCTTCATTTATCTGTTTCGTTTTTATCGTCATAACGTCATTGGTTTAACCAGAATATGCCGGCCTTCCGTCTAATGGGGACAGTTTATTCGGAAAACCGTTACCCTGCATACAAGCCAATCTAGGACGAACGTTAGAACATATTTTACCGCTAGCGATCTTTTTCATCCTTATCAGGCATCTTCTTCAAAGGTAATACGCTAAGATAACGGTATTTCGGACTTGGAAGGCCACAGGTTCCACTTTTGTCCAAGCCATTTTTCACGAATTCCTGATTTGGACATCGGACTTTGAAGGGATAGAGAGAAAGGAGGACGTAGATAGTCAGAGAAAAGACAGTTGAAAGGTGATAGTGTTGGATAAGCTCAGAGTAATAGTCTGTGTGAGGTTAGATACGATGACGTTGCCATTCATAAGCTTCGGTAGTATATGGCAATTTTCAATTTCGTTAGCGAACAACAAGAGAACGACAGAGATGGATCTGAGAGATAAGCCGGAGGTATTCCATAACTGAAAATTCTAAGGAAAAAAAGTTTTTCATTCACGTCCACGCATTGAAGGATTCATTTATGTATAATTACCAACTCTAGATAGGATTAGAACCTGTTCACGTTGTCCACTTCAATAACCGAAACATCTTCTAAACAAAATTTCGATTTCCTGTTTGTTCATATAAAAAGGTTGAGAAGCTCACAGCACTTTTGAAGTTTATGATTGATTATGGATAGCAGTCCCAGATGATTAGGATTTCAAAGATCTCATCATCCAACACATGATCAAGCTGATTACTTGTCAACGAAGGCACATCGTTCATTGAGTGGACATAAGGCAATTACGTTCTAAACATAAGCATCAACATTCTTGGACATCCGCCTACTTCTAAGAATAGAAATTCTCGACCTTCTTCTAATCATTCTAATGATTTCATCTTCCAAAAATAGCATCAGATGAGACGAATGTCCCGAAAAAACATTTTCTTAATTGATCAAGCTAGCACGTGAGATAGTGATACCACGTGAGTTGACAATATTCGATCTAAAAAGATTCTGATGTATCGGAGATTGATAAGAAATCCCTCCTACTCTTCACTCACTATCTCTCATTGTCCACTTGCGATACACACGCTCATTGTTTCTCTCCGTGGGATCTTCACGTAAAATCTCACGGCCGTTGTCCCTCATCTCACGTTTTCATTTCTGAACGTGCGTCCGCACAGAACGGTTGGCTTTCATTTTTATATTTTCAATCCTTTTTTTGTTTTATATTTTTATATTATTATTTCTTTATTAATTTTTATATTCTTCTCCGATGTTCATGGCTCGAATGATCGGTTGGATGTGTGTTTGACGATTGACTCTGGTTGATTGGACTTCTCGAATAGTGTTCACCAAAGTGAAACCCTTGGACTATGAAACCTTTTTTTTGTTTCGAACTTGATTACCTCGTACCATTGAATAAACGCTACCTCATCTCTTCCAATGAGCTGCAAGAATTCCGAATCCAATCAGCGTAACTGAAATAACTACAGCAGCTTCGAAAGATCAGGAGTTCAACTGCCGCTACGGTATTCTGAGAAAAATGAAAGTAAAGTGATTGATGATCTTTTTTTGGTCATTTTGAAGTATTTTCAATAACAATTGCCAGTTATTTAGATGCAATTGGCAATTTGAGATAGCCAAACCGAGTGAACTCGTTCGAATGCTAAATCTCTTGAAGCAACAGCCATTCCTGAATTTTAAAAATGAATCTCCTTTTTCTACTTCGCTCTGATGGTTATCATCCCAGGAATCTTGAACGGCTGTCTGAGTCATAGTTCTGACCATTTCTTAGTAATATCATGGAGATTTTGCGTAACTCCAAAAATCTGCTTACATACATACAGTACCTCTCTTGAGACAATTAACTATTCTCTTCATTGAATACCACGTACAGTAACCTTCATCGTATATTTTGGTCCTTCATGCACGTCATCTCTATGCTACAGTATAACTCTCGATAACTAATAATCTTTAATGCATTCTATTTTAAGTCTTCTAGTTTGATTTCCTACCATACGACGATCCCCTACACTACCCCACCCCGTATTTCGTTACTCTCCAGATTCCAATAAGATTCCGAACAAAAATAATAATACAACGAGCTATTGCTTGTTATAAAGACAGAAAGTAACACACAATTGAATTTGATTGTTGTGGGAGTATGACCTCGGGGAACTTCTTAACACATGTCTGAATTAAGTCACTATTGTTTATGCAGTTGGCTAAACAATACTTCTGTCAGCTAAGCTTCAAAAAAACGCCGACGGCAAGGTTACATGATTGAACATGTAATGAAACATCAATTATTCTTTTCTTTCTTTATTTTTACATATGTATGCTGCCCTTAGTTGAAAATAGCATTTCCTTTGTGTGTCATTGCCGAAACGAAGACGTTCACTCTTGAAATTTCTGCCGCAGGCAAAGAAACCGCATGACGCAAGACAAACAAAGTTTTCAAAAAAAGACCTTTGCTTAAAGCAATTGACAAGAAAAAAATGGATATGAAATGAAAATATGAAAGGAAAGTGTCCTCTTTCGAAGTTGTTTCTTTATTCCATCGTTCTATCTATCATATGCCTGTGAACACATAATACATTTGCTAGCTACTATCTCTCTCGCTCGCTCCTTGCTGATGTGACTCATAAAGAGTCAAAAGGAATACGGAGCCATAGAAAACGACTGAGCTGAATATGAATTCCGTGAAATTTCTTAAACTTATCAAATGCTTTTTATTTCTCTCGCTTCTCTCCACTAGCTAGATCTTATCAATCACCAGTCCCAACAAAAAAAAGAGAGAGCTTAATAGGAAATGTCATTTAGCCATTAATTTTTAAAAATAGAAAATAAACCAATTCGAACTTTGCTGTCAAACCAGGTTCCACTCGCTCTGCAGTATAACCGCCAGAGAAAAACTTTAAAGAAGTTAACTCGTAAAATCAGCAGAACTTTTTTGGGATGAGCCAAATTTGGTTCGCGGACGTCGGCCGGAAGATGATCTTCTTCTTCTTCTTCTTCTTCTTTCGCAATTTTTACTCAACATGTTTCAATCCCGTTTGTAAATTGTCTGATGCAATGATAAACATTCATAATCTTGATTTTTGAAGTTTCGATATGATAAGAAGTAACTTCGATGAATTATGATGATGACTTCTTCTCAAACCATCGCTATCTTCTCTCTGATCTTTTGCCGGCCCTCTCTGACACTCTCTCTCTCTTTCGAAGAATTCGGTTCTTCTTCTTTTTCATATATATTGAACTTCATTATCTGATAATTTACTATTCGTAGATCAACAAATCAAAAAAAGTTAGAAACAACATTCGAATTCGAGAGGTTTGGTTATACAACAAGACTCTCCGCACAACTTCCTATTGAAGAAATGTTATTGATACCTATGATAGCATGAACGTGTTAGGATTGTATTTTTCTCGATCTCCTGACGTGCGAAATTCGATCCAAATTGTGAAAGTCGTATGCAGATCTGTACAGAAACCAACCAATTGAACTCTTCTGTTCTCCAAGCGTCTACACCAACTTGTGATGGACAGTTTCTTTCCGTTCTGATTTCTGATGCACGAATGAGTCAAAAGGACAGAAAATAGCCTCATACATCTTCAAAAGGAATTTTTACCTTGTAAGAGTGCGATGATCAGCCTTCAAGACGTCTTGTGATCTTTAGAAACAAAAAAGATTCATCTTTCGAACTCAGTACAAGTTATGTTCCTCCTGAAACTCATATTTCACATCGCCTGATACTCAGCGCTTTTTTTTGTCAAAAAGTTGACAATCAACATCGTCCATTTTTCATCGGGTCAATTGAACAACATATCGATAAAGTATTGATAAAGTCCAGTTCAAAAAAAGACCTTGGAAATAGTCTGTTTCAGTATTTTTGAGAAACTACTGTTGTGGAATACATACATACATACACATACCCACACACACACACACACACACACACACATAACCAGCTTCCATACTTTGCATGATGTCACTCTGTCCATGGTCTTCCGACTATAATTAATTCTTCCTGCCGACTATTCGTCAAAAGAACTTATGCCATACGGGTACTCGTGCTGTAAGAGATATTTTTTTCTCCAAGAATATCATCTGATACAGAAAGACAGTTCACACCTTCTGACCCGAGAATGTCCAAATCTCTTCGCAGAGGTTTCATCTTTAACTTTTTGGTATGGCTATCAATCATCTTCACCGTTTTCTTAATAATCGCTCCAAAGACATAAAACTGGTGATTCCTGGGCGAATCCTTAATGAAAGAACGATCTCCTGCAGACTTCTTAAGATTAATCTTTGAAAATTATTGATCTGACGGATAGTTTAAGATGAAATAGTTTCACTTGTATTCTTTAAAGTTTCTCCCAATCTTTTGTGTTTATCATTAATCAAGAAAAGTGTTGAAGGAAAGCTCATTCCTTTGATCAATCGGGTCATAGTGAAGAAGAAGTTACTCGCTGATAAAAAAGGCACAGAGAGAGAGAGGGGGAGAGAGAGAAAGATAAAGAGAGAAAGAGAGAGAGGAAGAGAGGAGATCGAATGAGTAAGAGAGAGGGGAGAGGAGAGAGTGAGAGAGAAGCAAGCCGTTACAAACTTTTGAAAATTAAGCTGAAAGGTCAGACCAACTGCAAAGAAGTATTATAAATGATATGATCTTAAAAGGATGGTTGAACAGAAAGAAAACTACTTGCAGAAACTCCCAACATTTCTACCCCCCATCTTCGTACATAATATTGAACTATCTCTCTTCCAAGCTTTTTCTTTTCACCATGCTCTCTCAGTTGCAGTCTTCTTCTCATTTACAATCGACAACGCTAACTCTTATTAATACATCTTTTTCCTTCTTCTTTTTTTGGTTTCCTCGACCTTGTTCAATAAGCAACTGTCTATGACTGACTATATGACTTTCGGTCAAATAATCTTTTAAAAAGAAGAAGTGATGAGGAACTTTAGATAAGAAGTTGAACATTTCTTTTCCTGCACGGTCACATACTTCACTCACATGAGCGTTTCCCCACATTTTTTAATTCAAAAGTTGAACGATACTACATCAAGTTATCTCCTCCATCACATACTATCACGCAAAAAACGTTTCTGTCTATTCTTGGGTTGAATTCACAAAAATTCCAAACTGAATTCTTATTTGGAAGAGCGGGTTTCCCCCCCCCTCCTGGAAGACTTTAAATTTTGAAAGAAATCAAAGAAAACACAGAAGATGAAAGCGAATCAGGAACTATTTGTCTCAGTTAATGAATGACTCTTCTGTTTTGTACACCTCTACTCCCCTTATGAGGAAGCCTGTTTTTTGCCAAAACCTCATCTTCCTCAAGAATTTTGATTCTCCAACGACGGTCTTTCCTCTATTCTAGAGAACATTTGAAAATCTAAAAAAGGAAACAAAAAAAGATTGATGAAAATTAATGATTAGAGCTAGTTTCCCAGAGCAGGACACATCGTCACTAATCAAGCTCATCCATTCATCTCAATCAGCAGGGCATTCTCAAAATCAAAACATATCTCGATCAAAGAGCGTTTGACTCTTATTCCAAAGAGCTCTCCCTTCTCCGCAGTTTACCGTAATGGAGAGAGTTATAATGATATGAATTTTCCAAATAGTCGGCAGCCATACGTCATCGTTTACTTGAGAAAGCTTCTACTTCGTTTTTTCTGCTTGTATGAGAATATTTGCCCAAACATGGAGAAACTAACATTAAATGACAAAATTGAATGTTTACACGAGATAGAAAGCATTCCTAGACGGTCATCTAAAGATTCAAACAAATTTCCGAGGAGAATGATAGTACGGAAGAGGGAAACTGAAGCTCTAAAGAGCATTGAATGTTGCATTCATAACAATGGGGTTGAACAACTCATGAACTCTATGACGACTACATCTTCATTGTGTTGAAACCAGCTGATTCATGATGATCTGACTACTGAGCTTAAAACCATTGAATATATTGAGGACTTCCATCAATATTACCGTACCTTGCGCTGTTAAGAAGTTCAAAAGATAAAACAAGATTTTATGAAAATCTTCCTTTTTGTTTAATGAGAAATGATACGTCCCTGATAAAGAATACAATCATTATAAAAAGTATTTATTGAACATCTGAGATTTTTCCAAAAATGGGAGCGTTTCTGGAACATCGAGTACTCATCCGATCACCTGGTCAGGACATAAGAACCATTTGCACTCTTTCTATATTGACAATGAACATAAAGGCGGAGATTGACAACTTTCGAAGATCTGACCAAGAACCTGACAAGGTGATTTGAAAATTCTCCATAGGGTTTACGGTAGCCATCCGAAGGACGTGATTTCGACTTCGACAGCACTATCTAAAAACGGCACAAGACCATCGTAGTCGTTAGAAATTCGACCGACGTCGCTTTCCTATCTGTCAGAATTCTCATCAGCCCTTCTACAATGGTCACAAGATTTTTCTAAATTGAATGTGACGAAACCGAATACATTGTTGCTTTAAATAGGTATAATCATCACAGTTCATTAAAAGACATGGAATGTTCAAAAGATGTCAACTTCCGAATAGCTAGTTCAAGAAAAAACAACTGGTATCTGTGTACTTTACAAAAGTTGTTGGAAGTACGCTTGCACGGTGTGAGTATGTCGTATCTACAAATGGCTTCACTACTGGGATGTAGTACAACTGGGCTATACATTATCTCTTAATGCAGAACAACAATCAAGTCACAGCTTCTACTATCAGTTCAATATTGAGAAGTCGAACCAAATCGGCTAAGAATAGATTCGGTCTTTTGGGCTCTACTAAATCACTTAACAGAAACCGTGGGGCGCCTGAGGCTGCATGTGCTCGGAATGTTTCCGAACATCTTTCTGTGTTCGTACAGGATAGGTTCAAGATGAAGACTGATACACAGCAGGGTTTCTCTTAATCTTTTGGAAGTTGAAAAGCCTGTTAGTCAATGGGGCCGACTCGCTTTCATAACGAGGTCTGATGTACTCGTTACTAGTAATATTCAACTTCTCAACCAAGTTAAGGCTAGTCAAGAGGTAGAAAAGAAGAGCAAGGATATAGATGGAGAAAAATGTATAAGGAAACCATACGCATAAACAAACAAGCAAACAACGTTGAATGACGGCAGAAGCTGAAAACATCATGACGTTTGCAGATTTTTTAAAAATCACATCTACGTCGAGACATCTTGAAGAAGAAACTGAGCTTGCTGGAAAGGAAAAGCAAGAATGTTCCAGTTCAAGGAACAAAAGCATTTTCAGTGCTTATATGCCACATACATATGTCCGAAAATATGTTATTACTTCCTCAAATCTTGAGGTTTCACTTGTTCACAACGAGTTACACGAAAACTGGTAAGGTTACAAGTTGTAAACCTTTTTCGAAACATAAATGCATTGGGTGATGAAGCTTTTCTACAGTGTGTGGTCGGAAACAGCTGATGTCGAAACAACCTTCGGTCTCTCGAAGGATTGTTAAAGCTGCAGAAACGTTCCTTATACATGCATCATGTACACTTCTGTGTGAACTTCAATGTGATTCGATCTAAGAATGTTCCACAAATAAGCTGCAGAAGGAACACTTACTTTAAGAAGTCTGGTGTATCACGTTCGGATTTATCAATTCTCCATATATGCATAGTAACTAGAACACTTGATCTATCTCCTAAGACCAGATCTTTAAAGATTGATATAGTTGGCGTTGATATGTGATGATGGATTTCCTCCACACCATTTGTACCTAGCTTGAATACACATGGCAATCTACTTCGGCGTTCCGAATTCTACCTTAAGCCTATATATCATCCGTAACAAAACTCATTTTCAGAAGGCCAGTGCTTACCAAAAGCGTCATCTTCATTATACTGTCTTTCGCTATCCGTTTAATGAACGATGCATCATGTGAGAAGGTCTGCTTCTCTCTTTTCAATCTCCACTCTCTATCCTCCCGATGATAAACGGTCTATAATGTCATGACGGTCAACAGTTGCTGTATCTAAATTTGGCATCACCCCCCTCATCAGCAGTCAGCAAAAGCTCCGCCTTCGATCTTCAAAGTCGCAACGATAGAAGAAAGATAGAACTGTAGGCGGAGTTTTCCGTGAAGGAGGCGTGGCTCAGCATTTCTTTAAAAGGAGTCGGCTGTCCTAGCTTCCCTACGCAGTTTCTCCTGCGAGTTCATGGAAATAGGTTTCCTCCGGAACTCAGAGACACTTAACAAAACTCACTATGATCCGCACTATCGCATTTATCGCTATCGTCGTCGGCCTTCTCTCTGTTGAAGGTGAGTAAAGTTTTATCTTTTTATTCTGGTTCTTACAAAGCCAACAATGTTTCCCAAAGTTTATTTGCAACTTCCCCATCAAATTTTGATAACTTAGTCAGCTTAACACACTTTTACTTTTGATGTTTTGCAAACGGATTCGATCTTAAAAATCACGGTTTTCACTCATCACCCTAGTGTTGTGGTGTAACCGGTTGTTGGATTGATACGCTTCTTCACCTTCTAGTTGTTACTAAAGCGCAGTTCTTTACCATCTCTAAGCTTAGCGCTGATATGAACATAGTAGTGTTTCGCACCTTCCTATCCCACAATCACAAAAATCTCTCTCAATGTCTTTTAAGATTATGGAAATTTACTTTTTTCGATTTCAGCCAGTCCACGTGACCGTCGTGATGACAAAATTGAAAGATACTGCCAGAAGCATCAAGATCATTATGCCAAATACTGTTCTGACAACGTTGATGTTGACCGTGCCTCTTACGCCAAATTGGCCAAGTTCTGCCCAGCTTACGAAAAACATTGCGCCATTCCTAAGCATCGTGCTAATGCAGTCCCTTCTTCTAAGGATGGAGATCTTGTCATTCCACCACCACTCCCAAAGGGTGTTGACTTCGCTGCCCTCGATTTGCCACTCGGAAATGCCGCTGCTGCTCAACAATCTGGAGATTCAAGCCAACCCGCCATTAGCAAGAACCGTTTGACTGCTGCTATCATCGCTAGCTGCACCCCAGAATGTACCGCTGCCCATTGTACTGACGAATGCAAGTGCGCTCACACTCATCCAAAGGTAATACTTGTAACAATCAGACATTTTCTTAAATCTGCTATTTCTAGGTCCATGCTATGTGCAACCCACCAGCCTCTGCTGAAATTGCCAACACATGCCAGAGATGGTACGCTAAGTGCCCAATGTTCCAGCCAGTTCAATACTACTAAGTACACTACCTGGAGCGCCAAGCCTTTCTAGCGCCTGACTTACTGACAATTCAAGAGCCTTTTGAGGACCACAGCTTTTATTGCTTGTGAGGCTCCCTATTTTATAGTCAAACTTGTAAATATATGTAGAACTTATCCATATCCATATATCCACAACAAAAGCGCAGTTAGCCGGGAAGAATAACACATCACACCTGGTACAGACTGATTCCCCTAAAAATTGAATCCTTTTTGTTTTCTTTGCAGAGCTCTCTCTCAAAACTCTTACTATCTATCTTCAACTTCCAGAGTGTTCAGGTTAGGGGAAACAGTCTTGTTCAGGTATATCTGAGCCTCTTTCTAGCTCTCTTAATAAGGAAGTGCGCTCTTTTAAGACCGATCTCTAAACATCTCCGGTTCGCAATATAGCTTTGAAAGTGGCACACATGACTTAACCTCGTTGATGTACCTGTGTTATATAACTATATAAACTGATAATATTCTATTTGTTAATGAATAAAGTCTAAGCGCATATTCTATGAAAGGCTAAACACTTTATCTAACACTGGACTGTCTGTTCAAAGATAAATAAAGTTCTCGCATAACTCTGTGTTTCATTATTCGGGGGATGGCTCATCTTTAAACGTAGTTTTATAAAGATAGGGATGCAATTGGTTGATAGACATTGTCCCAGAAAGATATGAAAATCATAACGATCAATACATCATACACCGTAGTACGGTACTTCAGATCTATATTTAGACTAGTTTATCAGCATCTAAACCCGACAACCTAAAGGAACCAACCTAATCCATCAAATGCTGAAAATCGCAAAAAAGATTCAGTTCCTGATGATGCTACGGTGATAACGGACGATAAAGAGCCAGCAAACACAAGGCTGATTCCCAAGCATGGTTGTATTGAAAACTTCAGCTCGAATGAGATAGATAGTTTCAGTCACATCACTGTTGTTATACGTCAAAATCAAATATAACGAATAACTACGAACATACACTATAGAAAATACAAAAAACACAATAATACGATTAGATGATATAAATACACATGCTTCATAATAAAAAAACGCCCATACTGTGATATCATCTTTCAAATCTTATCATGATGTAGTCTCTCATTCTCATTTCCAAAACTGCTCAGTATGTCTTTCTTTCTCATTGGATGACATGTGCCAAGTCTAACCATTTATAAGAATCTTTGAGTATCTTTTAAAGCTATTCTCAATCTCAGACACAAATGTAAAGTGAATGATTTATTTGATTGTACATAATTACAACTGGTTACGGACGGCTGGTTAATGTTGGCAAATTGATTTAAACTCATACAAAATTGAGTTGATAACATAACCGTAGATATGACACTTCATCCCTTTATAAAGTATTCAGCTATGAGGTCTGCTTTCAATCTGCACATCAGCTACATCTTTTAAACGTTTTTGGATACGCTGAATCAACTCATCACCTTCGGTGACAGCAGCTTCTAACTCTCGAGCAGCCTAGAATTCGTTCAACAGTGGAATACAGTCACCGCATATTCGTCAAATTGAGAAAAGAAAACTACGTTAGTAAACAAGATCTAATAGCGTGCTAGCTTCAAAGTTCGATCATAAACGCATTGATAGAAACGTTCTACATGGGTACAAGGCCATTCATAATGTCTCCACAATGAATTATAACATAACCGGACAATGAACAAACTCTTGCGTGCAAAAGCACGAGAACAGGCCACGTGAAATTAAATCACGTGGAAACTCGCGTGCGCATGGAACGATCATTTTTTATCAAAACGATGCCGAGAGCGGTTGCACTTTTTTTTGCAGGCAGTAAAAATACGAAAAAAAATTATATTCTTTTAAATACTCACTATACTTCTTTTGGAATCGGTGGCCATCAATTCTTCCCTAGTCTCATCAGCAGTCATTTCCTCAGTGGTGAACGAATCAATTATAATCTGGAAAAAAATAACATCAAATCATGTTTATAGAAAAATACGAACATCAATGTCTTTGCAAGTTTGAGCAACATGCATTGCAAAGTGTTCACAATGAGGCTCCTCCTCTAACTCCTAAACAGAATAAGTTTTATTTCATTGTTAGCAGGTATATGTGTAGACCTTTGAGCAGGAATTAAAATCGCAAGGAGGGGCAGTAGCTTGTAATACACCAACTGCATTAGTCATGAATAAGGCGAGATCATTTATAATGTCCTGTAACTGTGTAAGTCTATCCGCCATTCTAAAAACATAACATAGGAACTCAGATTCGATGTAGTTTTGAAATGGTTCAGATAGGTGTTGAGCAATAACTTGAATAAAAAACAAAAACACAAATGCAATGATGAATCTTCATTATAATATGTATACATGTCATCATTGAAAACTCCGAAAACGGATAATTTGAAATCAATTCAATATTTATACTTGGTTGAGTAATCTTTTGGTGAAACAACCAAACCACGTCCTTTACGAGCTCCTCTGAAAATTGAAAACTAGCATTCAATTCTCAAACCAATGAATACCTATATACAGTCTCGATGATATCAATGAGTTCTTGTCCATCTCCAATAGCCCAATTGATTTTGTTATTATTACCGGTTCCTAAATGATTGTATGTAACATACTTCTTATATGAACTGCTTACCCAAATCAACCATTATATGTTTATTTCTGAAGAAGAACATGACGGTACAAGGATCGTACAACTCGTACATCTTGTTGAAATCCGGCACCTACAACACACTTATAAATGCCTTACAATGGGAGATGTTCACCTTCGAGATATCTACGAGGTAGACCACAGCAAAGTTCTTTACTTTAGGAGCAATCTTGAAGAGAGTCTGCAAGAACACCATAATTTCGAGAAACAATTAACCAATAACCTCATCCATTCTCATGCAAGTTGGGTCCCAATCGTGTCCAAACCGAATTACAACAACTCTATCTTCTTCCGCGAGAATGGACTGGTCTACCTGTACACAAGTAAAGTTATTTTATGAAAACTGATATGCTGCAAACCTGCCATCCATTCTCCAAATGAGGTAACATATACGACATCTTCGGTTGTTTTTGTTGTTTTCGGCTTGATCAAAACTAGAAAGATGGAAAGATTAGAATGAAACTTAAGTAAGAAACAATTGAGAAAGCTTAATTCGAATGCAAATCAATATGCCTTCCAATATTAGTCTAGTTTGCATACTAAGACGGATGCACCGTGTATACGCTTTACTGACCCAAATAGAGATGCTGACGTCAGTCGTGTTCAGTGTAACCATTTTACAAAGTGCTTAGAACCCTTTGATGCTAAATGTTATTTTAAATAATTCAAAAGTTTTAGAATAGAGTACACCTTGAATGATCAGATGCCACATGGTCTTCTGTCGTATTCTGGAGAGCTCCCCCACCATAGGTACTATCTTTTGAAAGTTCAACCTGATAAGTAATCACAGTTAAGGTCTAGACAAGGTAATGACGGAGTTTGCCTAAAACTAGGTATGCGATTCAACAGGAGTAGAGCACAAGTCATTACAGTTATGGCACTAGGGATTTGTACTCTTATCTATTTCACGGTTTGAAATCTCAGATTATGATTAGGAAATGTTCCCGTTTCAGTTTATGTTCTACTTAACTGACAATGTTATCATTGATGATCAGTTCTTATCTGCAGTGCCAGATTCAGTTCTGGAAAAGAGGTAAAACAACATTTTGATACTTAAGATAAGTATTCTTGTAGACTTGATTTCCAATCTATGGTGATAGATAGAATGTGTTCAGATGTAACCAATGTCTGCTACACAGTCAATGATATCAAAAATGAAGAGGAGTATGTTCTCATTTATGTTCCGAAAGACGCATACCGTTTGTTATAGAGTTAGTCGACATCTTATAGTGGATGGCTTTGACGGAGAAAGTGATACTGTGATGAGATTAGTCCCACCAAACAGTAATAACTCTTTCTTTACGCTTTCGCTATTCATCTCTTACAGACGCACGGTTTGACACATCCGATACAAGGATTTGGACTATAAATTATCTAGAGATCGACACCCAATATGTGAGTTGGAAAGAAGTTGAAGCTTGTTATGGAGTTTTGTGTTTAAGCTAGCAGCGCTACTAGTTAGTCCTTTCCTTATATCAGCATTGTCATTAGAGAAGAATGCTGATGAAGGTAAATCAATATTGGAAATCGGATTAGGTGGAGGAAGTTTCATGATGGCTTTGAATCATTACAAACCTGAGGTATTCAATGTGTGCGTTATGTTTTTTCATCTCCTTTCTGCTATAGGTTAATATAACAACGCTAGAGCTTGATCCTATTGTTTTACAATTGGCTCATAAATGGTTTGGCATTACAGATAATGAGCGGAGACATGCAATTTTAGGTGATGGCTTAGACTATTTGAAACAAATGAACAAAACAGGTAAACAAACACCTTCGAGATTAATTCAAGGCTTTCTCAGGCACGAAGTTTGATATTATTGTGTTGGATGCATGCGACATTGACATCCAAGTCCCTTGCCCTGCGACGGTTTTCCGGAACAGGAAAAGTGTACAACTGATACTCGACTCTCTCAAACCATCAGGTACATTCATAGTGTTGTTTTGACTATAAACTTATTATCTGTTAGGCGTTGTGCTAGTGAATATTCTCGCCTTTCCGGAAAGAGATGGATCGCCAATTGAGGTAGTCGGTATGTTCTCTGAAGTCTTCCAAACATGTCTGCAACTCAAAATGACTAAAGAGGTATTTGATTTCTGAAAAACCACACTTATTGTTTCTTCAGTATAATATTATCATGATCTGCATGTCATATACTATTGGAGATGTTAATCAGCAAATAACTTTCTACCAGTCTCGTTTACAAGCTGTCACAGAAGCACTATCAGTCACTAACATTTTACAAAACATTGAGGTTTCGAAGAACTAAGTCAAATTACTAGAAAACGGGTCCGTCATATTGGATAACACACTCTTGCTATGTATCAGTCACATTACAGGTTCCCTTACTGAGCCATAATTACAAATTGCTTTATTGAGTTATATTCACA